GTTCGCACTGCTTGTTCCCAGTTGTTGACAAGTCTGGAACAAGTTGTTATCATCTTGTAACAAGGTTGATGAGGCCAACAAACTCGCAACAAGTTGTTCCAACAAGTCTGTCGTCTGCACGTTAGAAGTTGATGACAACAAGCTCGTAGCAACTTGTAACGAACAGCCTGCACTAGTGTTGTTGGAACAATTTGTAGCGAGTCTGTTGCCGTCATCAACCTTGTAACAAGGTGATAACAACTTGTTCCAGACTTTTCACAACAACTGGGAATAATAAGTTCTTTGTAGGTTTGCATGGCGATAAAACATATAATTATAGTTTTGTTTGTGGAAACACCACGTAAATTTATTACTGCAAAGCTTTCGATCCGTAAGCCCGGATCTTCATCAGTGCTAATAATATCTTATGAAATATTATTAGCACTGATGAAGATCCGGGCTTACGGATCGAAAGCTTTGCAGTAATAAATTTACGTGGTATTTCCACAAACAAAACAATTATAACTGGGAATAAGCAGTGCGAGCCTGTAAAACGTGCGCGTTTTTACGCTGTGTATTTGTTGCGAAACAAAAACTAACATACCTTAATATTTCCATCAGTTAATTTATTCTCTTTCTTATCCTGACTCTTCACCTCGACAGTCAACCTAAGCTCTGCTTCAGACGGTACCTCGCTCTGCAAGCTGATGGTTTGCATAGAGTCCAGTACTCCATCTTTCCCGGCCAGTTCTCGCAGTTTCTTCTTCAAGTCTCGACTGACTTTTTTGTAGTAATACAGGTCCTTCTCAAGCTCGTGAATACGACCATCTTTCTCACTGATTGAAGTCAAGAAATACATCTCTTAGATAAGACATGTTTATGATGTTTCGACAAAAATACACACGTTCAGCACAAACCTGCAGCAGACTTGTAGCAATGCTGTTCCAACAACTTGTGAACAGGATGAGTTCGCACTGCTTGTTCCCAGCTTGTTGACTTGCTACAAGGTTGTTGAGCTCAACAGACTTGTTACAAGTTGTTCCAACAACTTATTATCGTCCTGCAATTCAACAACTTGTCGACAAGTTGTGAGTGACAACCTTGTAGCAACTTGATAAAATAACAGCATTGTTACAACTTGTTGACAACTTGCTACAAGGTTATTGAGCTCAGCAAACTTGTTACAAGTTGTTCCAACAACTTGTTATCGTCCTCCAATTCAACAATTTGTCAACAAGTTGTGAGTGACAACCTTGTAGCAACTTGATAAAAAAACAACATTGTTATATCTTCTTAACAACTTGCTACAAGGTTGTTGAACTCAACAGACTTGTTACAAGTTGTTCCAACAACTTGTTATCGTCCTACAATTCAACAATTTGTCAACAAGTTGTGAGTGACAACCTTGTAGCAACTTGATAAAATAACAGCATTGTTACAACTCGTTGACAAGCTTGCTACAAGGTTGTTGAGCTCAACAAACTTGTTACAGGTTGTTCCAACAACTTGTTATCGTCAACAAGTTGTGAGTGACAACTTTGTAGCAACTTGATAAAATAACAGCATTGTTACAACTTGTTGACAAGTTCGCTACAAGTCTGTTGCAAACACATCTTATTGACAAGTTGTGAGTGACAACCTTGTAGCAACATTGATGAAATAACAACATTGTTACAACTTGTTGACAAGCTTGCTACAAGCCTGATGCGAACACATCTTGTTGACAAGTTGTGTGATTTTTACGTGTATAGTTGGCTATGCCAAGATGGCGGAAATTGAAGAGCTATAGGACATCAGTTCCAGTCTCTTTCTGTTGTTTATGTCTGCGCGGTTAACACAAAGCTGACCTCACTTTTTGGACCCGACTTCTCGCTCCAGATATATACGCAGTTCAGTGAACCGACAGAACCTTACCTTGTGTGCTGCTCCATATCATTGACTTGTTTCATAAGGAACTGTACTCGCTGTTCATACTCCTTTGCCTGATCAGTTAGCCTGCGTTCAGCCCGCAAATCCGCCTGCTGAAACCCTCGTTCCAGTTCCCTGATCACGCGGTCTTGCTCGTCAACACGTAGAGTCATATCGTCGCACTTCACTTGCTGTTTTCGTTCATTCTCGCGATGAGAGATCACTTTCTCGAAATATTTTGAGAGCAGGAATATGGCATCTTCTCGCCCCAAGCTGTTTAGTTTTGCAACTAACTCGTTCTGTGAGAATTCGGGTTTTTCAACGCCCAACTTGTTCTTCTGTGTGTTGATTGAGTCGGTTTTGAATTCGATGGCCGCTTCGAGCGCTTCTATGCCTTCGTCGAATTCTAAAAGTCTGTCAGAGAGAAAAAGATACTGTATGTGGGTTTGGTGTAGCAAGAAAACAAATCACTGGACCTCCAAGGGGAACAATCTGAAACTAATAGAGACATTTAAAAAAGCATTAATAATTCATGAAACACAACACAATAGTTAAATATTGTCAATTTAAATACAATCATCATGCTGTAAAACGGACGCCATATATTATATACAGTACAGCAATATAAGAAAAACTCGCTGAATTTCAGACCGCATCATTTTCTGTGTCGACGGTTTTGTATGTGATAAAAACAAACATTCGCAGTTCATGCTTTATCAGATATAAGACACTCGAGCTGTTTCCTCGTGTTTTAAACAGTACATAAAGTTTTGGTTTCCTCCTGTAGTAAGGCAAAAAAAATATATGTGGGTTTCCGGTTTCTTCTTATAAAAACTTAGGTAGGGTAGGTCGGTTTTAACTTTTTTTTTTAAACTTTTTTTTTAATTTTCCTAACAACCGGACGCCATTTTGTTTAGTCAGTGCTTCCACATCCAAAGATAAATTTCCCTAATATTGCCTCAAATTTCAATTTTCCACAAACTTTTTCCTCTAAGTGGAAACACTTACAAGCATGATCCAATAAAAAAGTTTAGGGTCGGGATTTCGACGTCCAAAAGCTAGGTAGGGTCGGGAAACCGGAAACCCACATATTTTTTTTGGCCTAACAGAAGAACAATAAGGGCCTGGACCTCTAGCGAGAACAGTTTAGAACCGACACAGCCATTTAACTGAAGTAACTTGGCTTATTTTATTTAAAAATCAAAAGAAGAAACGATACCTTCGCTCCTCTTCGACATTCAACAAACAGCCTTCTTTTAGTTTCGTATCCAGTCCTTCTCGTTGTTTCATCAGCTCTGATCTCTTGTTTTCCAAAGCTTCGATATCCTGACGAATATTTTCACTTGTTCCCTCATCTTCACTTTCTGAAAATAAAACAATGATAAAAGGTTTAAGAGAGACTTGGTAGTTCTGATGCACCGCACAATTTAAATACTTGGTTACCTTTGTTCCATGTTATGCTTACATTATCAGAACAGTGATAATTAGGCATGTGAGTTATCAATTATGAGTGTTCCATTTTAATGAATATTTTAATGAATGATTTAAGGAATATGAAAACGGTTGATTAGCAAGGTAAAGGTAAATTTAGGTACATACCCTTGAGCTCAGCATCTTTCTCCCGAAGCTGTTCTTCCACAGTGTTCAATTGTGTTGACATTCGTAAAATGTCCTAGAGCAAAAACGAAGTGAATAGAAAGATGAAGGCTCGCATCGTTGCATTTTCTTCTGTGTCAAACTCATCAGTTCTACTCTAGTGCTCAACGAACAACAGTTCAGAACTGATAGAGCTATCCAGTATAAATAAAGTTAGTTTAGTTTAAGTTTCCTTCTGTAGTAACACTGGATCAATAAGAGATGATTCTTACTGGATCTCTAGGAAGAACAGTTTAGAACTGATAGAGCTATCCAGTATAAATAAAGTTAGTTTAGTTTAGGTTTCCTCCTGCAGTAACACTGGATCAATAAGAGATGAT